ATGTTATAAGTATATGTAGAATACTGGATTATAGTTTTAAGTTATCTGATCAATATGTCAAAACTTTCCTGATATATTACTATATTTAGATATGTCTTGCCAAACATCACTGATTGCTATACTTGGTGCCAAGATGAACGTGAAGTTCGTCCAGTTTGTTTATCTGTCTTAAAATGATGGATAATGTTGCAAAATATGTCAATATATATCCATATAATTGCATAAACGTGTCTGGAATAAATATTTTAATTGCAGTCTATGCAAACATTCATAAATGAGAATGTATGAATATCAGATTGTTGTACGTCTGGTGTCAGTCATCACATTTTCACCAAATATATAAATCGACTATTCTTTTGACGTTTTTCTTTTTTGTTCGGCATTCTTTCATTCTTTTTCATTGTCAAGAATCACATTTCTACCATTGAAATATATTTATCATTTACGTTTAATATAAGTGTTGTTGTCTCGTGTTCACTAAGATTTAATGCTACGTATCAGGCTCCAATTAAAAAAAAATCATTTTTTTCTCAATTGTTAATCCTCATAGATTAGACATTTATTATTAAGTGGATAAAAATGGACTTGAAATAACATATTTTTGAAATTTTAGAATACATTAAAATATTTTTTTTGGTTATTTAACTAGACATAGACATTTAACAGTCGGTCCATATATTGATCATGTCCAAATATTGATCCTAATTATTTTGATCCGATAAGTTTTGTATCTGCTTTGTTATTCGTCTTTTGCCAAAATATGGTTGATTCTTCGCAAATGAGCATTTTTCTTAAATTTTGTTTATCATCTATTTACTGTATGCGATATATGATCAATTTTCGTTTTATTAAACAATGAAAATAAAATCAGGACCATTTGAACCTGATCCTGATCTTTTATTTGTGGACATGGGCAAGGTATACTGAATGTTATAAGCTAAAGCTCGCATGAAACTCAGTATCAACACCTTACATTCTGTATAAAGTACTTACTTCATGCATTCTTTCATATTATCGTACCTATCGTTGAGATATGTGATTGATATTACTATTGTCAGTATCCAGTACTTAAAGATGACTTTGATAAAAGATATTCAAGAAAAGTAATATGTTTAAAATGGTCGATGGTTCTACTCGGTGGAATTATGCACTGAATGGTATTTTAGACTTCCAGACATAAGAAAAGCTGGAAAATTGCCATCACAATGTCTATGTGCCTTTATCCTTTTTATTTAATGAAAGTATTCCAAAACTGTAGAAATGTACAGTTAATAACTATTCACTGCCACTTTGACATCATAATTTGAATGACATTTCAGTGTTAGCTGGTGCATTCTCCCTGTGAAATAAGTCAGACATTTATTTAGTTTTCCATAGCGCTTGATCAAAATATTATCTCTTTCCTTCTTCGAACTTGATGGATAAATGGAGTATAATTGCTTTATTGGTGTCTTGTCTTTTTTGGTGAATTTACCATGATAGCAAATCCAAAAGCGAAACAATAACATTCCCTACTGACAGAAAAGTATACAAGAAGTGGGTGTCAATGGTCAAATGGCTTTGACTGCTTACAACGATAGACCCGTCTGTCATCCATAGTCACATTACTTAGCAAAATATTTTCAAATTTAGATACGCATGCGGCATATTTAAGTCATGTGTGTATATGATGAACTGTCAAAAGTCTAAAGTATTAAAGGATCTGATATTTTTTCCTTATCCTCCGTAGTACTAGAATGAACTCCTTCATGACATATTGCATCAGTGCTAGCCTTTAGTGGTCTTTTATATTCTATAATTGTATCCATTATTTGTTTCCCAATGTTTGCAAATCAACATGACAAGCATATCGTGCACAGTAACAGGTTGGAACAGACATTCTTCACCACTTTTGTTTTACAACAACGTGTGATGTGTTTAAGTTTGTTAAGCCTCCACAGTGGAGTTAACCATATTTGCAAAAATACGAATAATTTGAACTTACTTAATAAATGGGATCCTAATATTACAGTGCTTTAATGTCAAGAATGCTTTCATGCACACTTCCTAAACCGTCACTTAATATGTTTATGTTGTTTGGTCAAGAACCTTTAATAGTTTGTACAAGCATAATTGTCGACAATAGAAATTCCCTTCAATAAGTCCTTTAGGATAATACTGAAATCTTTATAACAGGGTTGTGAAGCTTTGCAAGTTTATAAAAACAATAAAAATATATATATTTAAGATATTTCAATAGAGTATTCAATGTCAACATTTCTGTTCAAACATAAGTCTCATCCTGTTATTTACATTATACTTTATACCAAGTGGATAATCAAACCGTTATGAGAGTTATTCAAAAACTAACAATGATACGAATTCTAGAACATCTATAGTTCACAATGATTTATTTCTAATGACTAATGAAGATATAACAAAAGAGTATACAGATAAATAGCTCTGTTGCTGTGAGCAAAAAGAATTTATTTTATTTTACAGTAGTCCTGGGATATCTAAACTAGTTTATTTAAAAATGATAGCACAAAACATAACCATTTAATTAAATCAGCAAGCAATTATAACTGGCAATATGTCAAAACTGCAAGATAATATAAACGGATTGTCTGTCTAGTATAATAACAAATGAATTTACGAAAATGATACTAAAAAGAAAATACAATAAAAGTGTGAGAATTTGTGTAGAGATACTCCAGCATAAATAAACCAATGTAGGGACGTCTAAATATTTTTTCTATCACTATCCCTTCCCATGTCGTTAAATAAGTAAACCTTAGCAGACTGTAGCCAGTCAACGAACATGCTGTATTTTTGTTTATCCCCGACAGACAGTGCGGTAACAAGAGTTTGGGTAACTAATACATGTACTCCAGTTAACGCACTGTGCATTTATGGGTATACGATATATAACTCTGACACATTTTTAGCTCGACTTTTTTTTTTTTTTTTAAAAAAAGTAGAGGTATTGTTATAGTCAGGTCGGCGTTGCCGTTGCCGTTGCCGTTGCCGTTGCCGTCTCCGTTGCCGTTGCCGTTGCCGTTGCCGTCCGAAAACTTGTACCTGGATCATAACTTTTTTATTTCTTGGTGTATTGTCTTCATACTTGGCCACAACAACCCTTGGGACAAGACCTTTCAGTAGACCACACTAACCTTGACCTTCATCCATAAATGACCTTGACCTTCAAGGTTAAAAGTCCAATTTTTGCTTGTTCATGCTGTTATTGGCTGTTACTTTGTTATTTTTGAATGGATTGTTGTCAAACTTGAACATAATAATCTTCAAGGATATCCCTTAAAAATGACCAGTCAGACCTTGACATTCACTCATCAATGACCTTGACTTTGAAGGTCAAATTATTGAAATTTTCATTTTTTTGGCTATTATTGGCTGTAACTTTGTTATTTTTGAATGGATTGTCTTCAAACTTGAACATAATAATCTTCAAAGATAACTGTTAAAAATATACCGAAAGACCTTGACCTTCACTCATTAATGACATTGCCTTTGAAGGTCAAATTATTGAAATTTTCATTGTTTTGGCAGTAACTGACTGTAACTTTGCTATTTTTGAAGGGATAAACTTCATATTATAACAGAACATTCTTAAGGACCAGACCTTGTTGTTTATCAAACCCAAATTTGCTTGGGCTCTTTAATGACCTTGACCTTGAAGGTTATATTACTGAATTTTCTCAGATTGTGCATTTATTGGTGTGTGTGTATGTATAGTATATGTATTATATATATATATATATATATATAAATGTGTGTGTGTATATATATACATATATGCAGGTATATATATACATAAATATATATATATATATATGCATGTATATATATATATATAGATATATAGATATATATATATATATCAAATATATATATATATATATCAAATATATATATATATATACATATAACATGTATATAATTGCGTCATGTTTTTCTATTTTTAGAAATTGCGTCATTTTTTCTATTTTTAGAAATTGCGTCATTGTTGCTATTTTTAGAATTTGCGTCATTTTTTTCTATTTTTAGAAATTGCGTCATTGTTGCTATTTTTAGAAATTGCGTCATTTTTTCTATTTTTAGAAATTGCATCATTTTTGTTCTATTTTTAGAAATTGCGTCATTGTTTCTATTTTTAGAAATTGCGTCATTTTTTTCTATTTTTTAGAAATTGCGTCATGTTATTCTATTTTTAGAAATTGCGTCATTTTTTTTCTATTTTTAGAAATTGCGTCATGTTTTTCTATTTTTAGAAATTGCGTCATTTATCTATTTTTAGAAATTGCGTCATTTTTTCTATTTTTAGAAATTGCTTCATTTTTTTTCTATTTTTAGAAATTGCGTCATGTTTTTCTATTTTAGAAATTGCGTCATTTTTTTCTATTTTTAGAAATTGCGTCATTGTTGCTATTTTTAGATTTTTTTGTCATTTTTTTCTATTTTTAGAAATTGCGTCATTGTTGCTATTTTTAGAAATTGCGTCATTTTTATCTATTTTTAGAAATTGCGTCATTTTTTCTATTTTTAGAAATTGCGTCATTGTTGCTATTTTTAGTAATTGCGTCATTTTTTTTCTATTTTTAGCAATTGCGTCATTGTTTCTATTTCTTGAAATTGCGTCATTTTTTTTTTTTTTTTTTTAGAAATTGCGTCATTTTTTCTATTTTTAGAAATTGCATCATTTTTTTCTATTTTTAGAAATTGCGTCATTTTTTCTATTTTTAGAAATTGCGTCATTGTTGCTATTTTTAGAAATTGCGTCATTGTTGCTATTTTTAGAAATTGCGTACTGTTGCTATTTTTAGAAATATGCTTAATGTTTCTATTCATATATATACAAAATATATAAACAAAACTAATGTGACAAGACAGACCAACTAAATTTATAAAAAGGAAACATCAATATATGTTCAAACCTTTCTATGTTTGCGTTTAGAAAAAGTAAAAAGTCGAGCGTTGCCCCCGCCCGGCGGTGGCTCTTGTTAAATGAAATGGTCCCCAAATTATGATACAATTATCAATAATTATTTTTATTAATGTAACTTGTGTCTTAAACATACAAATTAAGATATTTCAATTAACTGATTTATGAAACAGACAGGTTTTTTTAAAATGTCAACTCGCTTATGTTAAATGATTTAGTAAACTATCAAACTCTGGATTACATGTTTGTAGATACTCTTTAAAAACGCTGTTGTGACATGATATGCTTTTTAATTTACCATAACTGTTAAGAAATATGTAAGACTTGTTGTGAATTTCTCATCACTCATCCTTTCATATGGCAAATGTATCTTTAACCGGATTCTGGTTGATAATATGTACAAATTGGTTATTTTTGTTTTTCTTTAAGTCGTTCTAAGATGTTTTCAGCATCAGCGACACTGCAGCTACAGCAAAATATATGCTCATGATAGCATTGAACGTTGTCCCACTTGAGCAACTTTCGTGGTTGAGTTCTTCAAGAAAATAGAAAGGGATAGCTTACGTTACGTTCATTCTTCGAAATTTATAATCTTTATTCAATACTTTATTACTAAAACGAATATATATTTAATTAAACCATAAACTTCTTGCTTTACCTTTACTATGCCGGAACCGGAAGCAATAAGGATAAAAAATATTCTATGATATAGGGAATCCCGAAAAGGCATTGAAAACAGATAGAAATAAGTAACAATCGTCGATTAGACTTGAAGGGTTTTTTTTTTTAGAAATGTACACATCTTCAAAAACCCCTATCACAGGACTTTGCATTGTTCAATCGTCAGAACTAAAAATATTGGAACTAAATATTTCATAAGATATTAAACAAGAACAAAGACTTATCTGTGTGACAAGAGCATTGCGGCATGTACTGTATGGCATAAATAAATAGATACCCTTGCTTTCCAAAACCATACGAACAGTAGTCTCAGTCTTTGTAGAACCATACTGTTTACTTGGATCAACATCTACTTCTTGTGCCTAAACAGTAAACATATATGATACAAGTTACCTATGCTACATTGATTGTAGTACACGAGATAGTTAATTTTATACAACATGTGACAATAATAACAATCGGGAGAAAGAGTGACGCCACCTAGCACCGGCTTCAGCTGTATTCAATTTTCAACACAATCAATGATCCCGAAGGACCAGAAAAAAGTTAACAACGCTTAATTATATAACGAAGGTAAAAGTGCATGTATTGCAAACAATAAAGTTTATATTATATTAGAAACGGATCAGTAACGGGCAGTCAACTTTCGAAACGTACAGAAACACATAGGTATATACACTGACTAAGTGGGCTTAAAATATTTCTTTACTAAATATTCCCATTACAAGCATCAAATTGTCTCAAAAAGTATCTCTCGTTATTTTTGTACTAACTACATGTATTTGTGTGTTATTGATCACGAGATAGCAATATACCTTACAGAATGATAAAGATTATAAGTGTTAAGTTTTTTTATATATTTAAAGGTACTCCACTGAGGTTTTTTGACATGAAGGAACAGAAAATATTTTTTCAAGAATTTTTTATAACTAGATGTATGTCTAGACCAATAACTTCTGTACAAAATTTCAGATCATTCGCTCACTCCGTGTACCAGAACAATTAATCAATTTTATTGTGCCAATTGGCCAAAAACAATGAAAAGCGTTGAAACACTTTTCACTCAAATCGGTCAAATTCGCATAAAAATTGATTTTCAATTTAATACCGTTTATATTTATATATCATCTATTGCTTGGTTTTCAAATTTAAATGTATCAGTGGATTTAGGAAAGAATTTCAAAATTTATTTAGGCTATTTGACCTCAGTGGAGTTTCTTTAGATATACTATCTACCACGAAATTATATACTTTAGACCTACTGAAGATCAGTAAAACCTGAACAGTGACAGGAATATATTTGTTTCTTATCTTTTGAAACATTCATAATTGATTGTAGTATCAAATAGTTGACAAATGTGTACAATATCTTTCTTCCAATTGAAGAATGCTCTTACCGAAACAGTAAGTACACAAGACGGTTCAAACGCCTGAGTATTGTCGCCAATTGGTTTTGTCGTGCGAATATCCCCTTGTTTGTCTATGCTAAACAGTTCCGAGCATGGGCCTAAAAGATCAGCAACTTATTGTGATTGAGACAAAAAGAGCATCAGGTGTTTTTGACGTTAAAGAATTACAAAGTTATATTTTACATGTTCTTCTCAAAGTGTCATGCGTTGTACAAAGTATTTTTTAGGCGTATGCTATAGTTTTACATAGACATAGAGGCATAATAAATACTTTAATAATAGAATTTATTTAAACTTTGCACGATTTTAGAATAATTATGATAACATAAACATCTTATGCAAAAGAAAATAAGACAGGGTGGCAGAAATACTGTTCAAATTATCTGCCCTTGAATTTGATAATTTTGCTTATTCAAAGACAAGAACCTTCCAAAACCTAGCGTAAAATTAAATCGCAACCTTGTAAAATTGAATAATCCACATCATTTAAAGGGCTGTAACCGGTATCGCCATCCAAAGCATTGACTGTTATTACCAAAGAATTCTGCAACACAAATCATATAAGATACAAAACTTTAATCATTAAGTTTATACCAATTTATTTTTAGTTTGATTGTGTTTGAAGCTTTATGCTTATTGAAACACTTTCGTTCATGGAACCTACTAGTACTAAGCAATGAATTTTAAGTTTCTTGTTCAAGGAAACAACGGCTTCTCCCTAACAGGGTTTGAGCAATGCTCAGGTTACTAGTACGACGCGGTTTAACCACTTGGCCACGCCACCTCGTCGCCTTTAACCATTTAGCAAACTAAACTTAGATTCTACCTTGCAGTCATGATGCAAACAAATGTACATACATATTAATAAACCCTAGCCACAGATATGTAAAAAAACGAATTACACTTATGTCTAGAAAAGTTCATAATAATCTCAGAAAAATATACACTCATATGTATTTTGAACCTGAATTAACCATGATCAGGCTAAGTATATGTATTTGACAAAGTAATAGAATAAGTACTTAAATGTTGTGCTGTTTAAACTTTTCGAACACACACAAAAATGTATCATAGAAACAATTTCAAAAGCATACATTTTGTTATAAAATGCGATATGATTATAATAAGGTAGATAATTCATTATTAACATGACAAGATAATGTAAAATAGCTTAATCTCCCTCTAACAGTTACTTCCCGCTATCTTAAGATGCTTTGAGAAAAAATAACAATATTTTGGTCAGAAAGATTCGACCTGATGTAAAGCAAATTCAGATCTTCCTCAAATAATATTCGAGCTACTATCTAAATAGAAAGGGTAGACGAAACCGTATTAATTTTAGTTGAATTTTCAATAGTTACGATGTTTTATTTGCAAAATTTGCAATATGTTTAGTGAAGTCTACATCAATAAAATTCACATATTTTTCAGATGTAGTACAAAATTGAAATCAAAATGCTCACCACTTCAAAATTGTTGTGTAATACAGCCGTGTAGGAACCACTAGTAAAGATTGGAGGGGTGTCCTGGACGTCTAGTACTCTAATGGTAAGTACAGCATATTCACTTGTTTTCCCATTGCCGTTTTCATCCTTATAAATCATTGAAAAAATAGCAAATGATTATATTAATATATATCAGTTATTCTTATATTATACTCTTTAACACAAAACAGTTTGCATTCTTATGTCATTATTTCATGTAAAAGGTGTTATTTATTGCTATTGTTGTTTGTTGTTTTGCTTTTTCTTTCTATTTTTGGAGGGGGGGTGTTTATTTATTTATTTATTTATTATATTTAAGTGTATTTATTTATTTTGCTTGCTTGCTTCTAGTTGGCTTCCAATTACATTCCCTGTAAGATTTGTTTACTCGACTTACACGTTTGGTTCACAATTGTAGGTGTTTTGTAAGATATATATCAATATTAATTTACTATTTACCGTAGCTGTTATGTTAAAGTGGTAGATGTTATGCTTCTCGTAATCCAAGTTACGTTCCAGTTTGACCACACCTGTAACTGTGTCCATGGTAAAAGTTGCTCTATACTCCGTCGCCATGGATTCCGACTGATTTGATCAAATAAGAACAGAGTGTTATTATCATACATGTACATATCGTTGAATATTATGACTGAAGTTCATTAATTCTCTATCATTTCTTACTTTTATCGCTATTATATATTAATAATTATATATTTAAAGCTGATGACATTAACAAAAAGTAATATAAACAGTACTTTTAAATAGGAAAGGTAGCAATACATTTGTATATATAGAATAGAGGCAAGTCCCCCTTTGACTAAAGCTACCCTCAATGAAAATGCAAAGCAAAATGAAATTATCGGTTCTATATCAATTGCTGAATCTTACTTTGTGTTACAATGTATTATATATTTCACCAGTTTTGGGTATACTGATTATCAGTATTATACAAAATTGAAAAAGGAATCGCTTTTGTGGCTTATATTTCATTCCGAATTCGTCTGTGAAAAAATGGGAAGGATGCTCTTGTATGTCCGAGTTGCATAACCTTATCAGTCAGTAAAACTCCTCCGAAAGATATGATCATTTATTTTAGCAGCAACACCTTAATTTTCTCCATTATGTTCTCATTGGCATCCCGTGCATCAAAACAGTAGCATCACAAAAGCTTGCACACATATTATGTATCATTCAGTGAATAAACTGAATTTAAAATTTATTGGTCACCTTTTGGTAGATTATAACAGTTTAAGGACATGAAAACAAAGTGGCTTGTTTAGGGACCGTACTCACAGTGCCTGAAAAGGCAGATGGACCCTCATTAAGTCATAAAAACAATCATACATTCAATAATTTTGTAAATCTTTTCTGGCCTAAACTACAGATGCTAATTTTATTCATACTTTGAAAAAAAACATCGTTGAATTTATATAAGATATACTTACCTTTGTAATCGGCTAGAATGTAACCAAAATAAATTTCAAAATTATTACAGTTTAAACAACAACAATGCAATAAGAAGATAATACAACGCAAATTGATCGAAGTTTCAGTATTCGTCTTTTTTGTTTTACATAAGTTTTTCGTTTTGCAGTCAGTTATTTTCTTGATAGAATTTGGAAAACAATTAAGTTACCATTACAAATATATAAATTGTTGGTTATTTTGTTCTAATTTATTAAGACACAGAAGAAATGTAAGTTTAGACATATCCTTTAAAGCATATTACCTCCATTCTGTATCTTAACATCCCATTTATTCCGGCATCGAAATCGTTCGCAGAAACTTTGTCATATGATTCGTTACCAAAATGAAAATGCTAAAAATAACCACGTAACAGACTATATCCGTATTTCATCTTCAGTTGATAAAATAATACTTTTACAACGCATTAGATCATAACCGTTATTGATTCGTTTACATTTCTTAGATATATTTATAGTTTATTTGAAAAATGAATTACACATTTCTTACATGCAATACTTGATTTTGATTGTTTCTCATATTTATCATTTAAAGTTGTTCCATATTCAATTGTATCTAATACTTGAAGAGAAACTTTCCGTAAAAATAATATTACCTCACTGATACTCCAATGGTATGGTAGATTCTGTAGTTACGGAGCATTGTCATTCACGTCAGTTAAGTATAGGACAGTCCAAATGGATATCTACAAAGTGCACAAAAATAATGGTAGCAGTTGTCTTGAGTTTTGAGATTCGTATCCGAATTGATTCACATAGAGATAAATGATACATTAGAGATACATTACATAATTATGCAATAAACTCTGAGAAAACATTTGTAAGTTACTTATTAATCATAAACCTATTTACTGGATTCATCCAACAGAGACAACATCTTAATATAATATCCTCCGTTAGGTAAAGGAAATATTTGTGATAGGATGAAGCCGTTGTAAAGTCACATGAGAACACTTATCATTAAATCGGCTGATAAATCGATGCAATCTGTTATCAACAGTAATGGAGTCAACGGTTCAAATCTTGAAAGTAACCAACAACATCAGAATGTTTCTTCTACAATCAGGGATTCTTGTGAAAATATAAATTGCTTTGAACGTAAAGGCCTTCATTTTATTCATTTTAATATGTGCTCTCTTTTACCAAAAATGTCGGAACTAAGGCAAATAGCAACAAAGTTTAAATTTTCTGCAATAGCTATAACAGAGTCATGGCTTGATAACAGTGTAACAGACAACGAAGTGTTAATACAAGGCTACAATGTGATAAGGAAGGATAGGAATCGTTCTGGAGGAGGAGAGTGTCTCTACATACATGAAGATTTGGCATTCACCGAGAGACAAGACCTCGAAACTGAACACTTAGAAATTGTATGGGCTGACTTATTACTTCCTAAAACTAAACCAATTTTAATAAATTCATGTTATAGACCTCCAAAACAATCTTATGTTGACTTTTTAGATATGTTTGAAACAGTTTTGTCTAAAATAAGATCGGACACTGAATGTTTTTTCTTGGGTGATCTAAATATTGATTGGTTGGACAAAACATCTTCTGTATTTATGAAATATGAATGTGTTCTTAAAATCTTTAATTTAACACAGATTATAAAAGAACCTACTAGAATTACATTAAATACAAAAACGTTAATAGATCATATATATATTAAGTAGTCATTCTGATAAGGTTTTTCAGTCAGGTACTTTACCTTAGCGACCACCTGCCTCTATATTGTACAAGAAAATTACAAAAAGGCACTTTTAATAAACACAAAAATATTATTATTAGATCAATGAAAAACTACTCTGCTGAAATTTTTATACATAATCTTAAACTTTGTGACTGGTCGAGTATGTATACGGCCGAATCTGTCGATGAGTCTTGGCCAGTTTTTAAAGATATGTTTTTATCAGTTTTAAATGTAGTGGCTCCTGTAAAAGAAGTAAGTCTTAAACAAAGGAGTGAACCTTGGTTAGACTCTAACATATTAGAATTAATTAATAAGAGAGATTATTTTTTACAAGAATTTAGAAAACATAATCAGAAAGATATGTATAATAAATACTGTCTTTATAGAAATTTAATACAGAGACATATAAAAAAGCTAAGTCTGGATACATCTCACATCAATTACAAGAAAATAAATATAATCCAAAGAAATTGTGGTCTCAATTAAACGACCTTGGTTACAGTAAAAAAACCAAATCTTCACCAAATATTGTACTTAACATAGATGATGAAAATTGTTTTGAACCAACAAAAATTGCTTGTCATTTTTAATCAGTTTTTTACTACTGTTGCTTCTGTTTTGGTGGATAAATTGCCAAATCCATTTAACCTTTTTTCTGTAGAATCAGACATCTTTAAAGAATTCTATAAGAACAGAAATCCAGATAGAAATAAATTTCAATTACATACTGTTAGTGAAGAATATATATATAAAGAGCTTTGTAAATTAAATTGTTCTAAAAGCACAGGATTAGATGAAATTCCAGCAAAATTTCTTAAAGATGCTGCACCATTTTTAAAGATACATATTACCTTTTTAGTGAATAATTCTATTACATCTAAATCAGTTCCAAATGAACTGAAATGTGCTAAAGTCAAACCATTATTCAAAAAGAATAACAGATCTGATGTTTCCAACTATAGACCTGTCAGTATTTTATCTATTGTTTCAAAAATCTTAGAAAGAACTGTATATAATCAGTTAGAAATTTTTTTAGTTAAGCAGGGACTATTATATGAATTACAAAGTGGTTTTAGATGTAATTATTCTACTGACTCCTGCCTAATCCATCTCACTGACCATGTAAAAAGTCAAACTTCCAAAGGACTGCTCACCGGTATGATTATGTTAGATTTGCAAAAGGCGTTTGACACTGTGGACCATGGCATCTTGTGTAGAAAGTTACAAAAAATGGGTGTGGAGTCAGTAGAATGGTTTCAATCTTATTTAACTGGTCGTAGTCAAATTGTAAATGTAAATAATACTATGTCTGAAGCTATGAATATTACATGTGGTGTTCCTCAGGGAAGTATATTGGGTCCTCTATTGTTTCTATGTTATGTCAATGATATGAGTATTAGTATTAGCAAAAAATGTAAGCTTATTCTTTATGCAGATGATAGTGCAATTTTATATTCACATAAAGATCCAAATGTTATTTGTAATGTTTTGGGTAAGGAACTAGAAAATTGTAGTAAATGGCTTGTTGATAATAAGCTATCATTACATCTTGGTAAAACAGAATGTATTGTTTTTAGTTCTAAGAGGAAATTGTCAAAACTTAAGCAGTTTAAAATACACTGTAATAATCACACCATACAATCTCAGCCATCAGTAAAGTATCTCGGTTCTATCTTGGATAATGATCTCTCAGCCACTTCTATTGTTGATAATATAGTACAAAAAGTAAACTCTCGATTAATATTTTTATATAGACAAGGCAACAGTTTGAATATGGAGCTAAAAAAACTATTATGTAACTCTTTAATACAGTGTCACTTCGATTATGTCAGCTCATCTTGGTATAGTGGCCTTACTAAACAACTTAAACATAAACTTCAAGTAGTACAAAACAAAGTTGTTCGTTATATTCATGGTTATTCCTCTAGAAAATCATTGAAAGTTATTGATTTTAGCAGTATTGGGTGGCTTAATATAGAAAATAGAGTCATACAGTTAAGACTCAATCATGTACACAAAATATTTAATAAAAAGTGTCCATCTTATATGTATGATAACTTTTCTTTAAAGTCTGATGTTCATTGTTATAATAGTAGAAACAGTGTAGGGAACTTTCATATACCCCATGTTAATAGTTTTACAAAAAGTACATTTTTTTACCAGGGTATTAGGGATTGGAACATGCTCCCACTTGATATTAAAAAGGAAAGTAACTTTTTTAACTTTAAAAAGAAAGTAAAAGCTGAACTAAACAAAAATATGAAACAATTTGAACAAGCTGATTTTATTTTTTATTAGTTTTAGAGATAATTGTTTTAATCAATATAGTATGTTTTATATAAATGTATCTTGTGTTTGGTTTTGTGATATATATAAATAGATATCTTTCATTGGTGGATAACTAGTCATATTCATAGTATTATTCCTGCAAATATGTGATATATGTAATTAACATAATGTGCAATAGAAATTAATATTATTTGAACTTATAAATTTAACATCAGTCCAGGATATCATCTCTAAGTATGGACCTGAATGCCAGTTCTCAATGAAATATATTTTTAACCATCAAAGGACCCCATTGGAAATAAGTTCTCTATTTTATATTGAACTTTCATGGGTTATCCTGTGTTGTATATATTGTCTTGAAGTCAACAAGATCTTTGATTTAATTATGAATGTAAAGTTATTATTTTTCAATTAATTACTGTGTTAAAAACAATGTGATAGATATATCTGTGATAAATTGTCTTAATTTGTTTTGTAATATGACATAAATATCTACACAAATAAATCAATCAATAATCAATCAATCAATCAATCTGGTTCTGATAGAAATTTCGGGAAAATTGAAGCCAAATATAAAGCGTGATTTGTTGGGTGTATGATAGACGGTTGGTTAATTCATTGAGGGTACAATGTATGCATTCAAGCTGAAACAGTCGTTACTCGGTGGTTTGATGGGGGTTTGGAATGAAATTCGGTGTATTCCGGTTAAAATAACGTGTACTTCTCCTGATAAATCGGCTGCAACCTTGTGATTACTTCAGACAATGGCGGCTTTATAATTATTAAAGACATAAATAATGACTGAATACTTTCCTTAAAACCAATGTGTTATTCCTAAGATATATTTCATTATTAAGTTCAAAGTACAGATTTTTTCTTTGTACAATTTCTACAGCGATAGTGCTAATAAACATTAGTACAAGAAATTAAACTTAATATATGCAACTTATATCGTCATAGACATTTTACCCATTAGAATAATCTAAGTTCCATGTATGAAAAAGGATAAAGAAGAATAACATACTGTTAATTACCATATTTGCCCTCAAGTCCACAGCTTGAAATTCAAGCTCAACTCGGCTTTTTCCAGGCTGAAACAGATTTAAGAAAGTTATTATTTTTCTACTCAACATATATTCTTAGGGCATGGTGTATTTAATTATTATGTTGTCAATGAACGCTCTTATAAAAATGAAGCACTGATTGCTGAGATGTACTTATGCTATGAAATAGAACTTCATTAAAGTACATGCATTTGTTTAAATCAATCTTATACTTTGATATTGAAGACATATATCTATAAACTAACAATTCCGTAACCATCTCTGTCGAGTTCAGTCTTGGTAATTACTTGCACAAATATATCATTTCCTCGAGTTTGGTTAACAAACACTATGTTAGCTGTATCTGGCCCATAAGTATGAATTACAATTTCTTCATCAAGAACTGCTACAGTTGCATTAAAAGTAAACAATATGCTGCCTGGAAAAAAATTAAAAACATATTCAGTGAACCACTTACTAAAAATGTTTTATTTATTGGTTAACAATAAATAAAACTTTACTTTTCAGATGGTCTGACTGGATAGTTAAAGACATTGAAGTTTAATACAATATGCATTTCTATAAATGTGTTACTAAAAGAGAAGGGACTTTCTTTCGCTTACTTTCGCAGTCGTCGATTATGTATCAATTGTTTACAGGTGGCTAGGGTTCATACGTGGGCATGAAAGTTTGACTGAGTTAACTGTAAGCAGTTGGACATGTGGCAACGTGCATCCGACAAGGTCGTTAAACTGACAAATTAACAAACCACATACATTTTACCTAATTCTTCTAGACCTGAAACTAATTTGGTGAACTAGTTATAGCGTAAATGTTTGCTTTGTTCATTCTGATATGAAAAAATATTATTAAGTACTAAAACGTATATCTATAAAGAAATATTTTGTTCCATCCTTTTACCAATAGAGATATTTTCCGACGCTGTAACGTAACTAGGTAATCCAATTATACTAGGAACTTCACAATCACATTCACCTTAAAAAAAAAGAAACAACAACATTAAGTCGCTTGATGTCAGAAGATAAACAAAGTTAGCAAATGAAAGTCAGAAAAATCTTTTTTCTTCTGCTTTAATCATTTTTTTCGTTGTTGCGTCATTGGCGTCCGCGCTGAAGCGCGGCGCCCCTTTATGGAATGAAATCAGATTTTGTGAAAGGGCGACAGCAACTTCTCGAGCCTTTAAGTCGGTCATAATAAAAGCCGATCATTCCGAACGGTATGAAGGTGCTTGATTATTAATTAATCCGTGGTACAATGAATAGCGAACTTGCAAAAATTTTCAAATGAAATAACCTTTTCCGTCAATAAATCGCGCTCTTCGGTTTTTTTTATTTACACAGTGGGTTATTATGGAATGTTATTGTTGAACATTTATCCGAAAGCTGTAAATACAATGATGAGTTGATGACCTAAATATTCCGAAAATCTATTTATAGAGGGATGTGCTCCTATCGGTAATTCCCGGTCTCTCCCGGTCTATTTTGACCGGGATTTACTAGTGACCGTTTATTGTCCGGTCTCTCCCGGTTTTGGAGTAGATGTTTGATATAGTTACAGAACAAAACAAATATTTTACAGATAAATAAGCTTTTTTCCAAAATGAATGTTTGTCAGTTAATTTGGTTACAATAATTCATGAACACAGATCAACTCTCAAATTTATTGATTTTTTTATACATAAACATACAATTCGAAAAAAACAACAAGAACAACAACAATACATGTTTCATTTTATCTATATGAGATAAAAACAATAAATATGTACAATAATTGAGAAAAGGGTACATTTTTATGGTAATAATACGACACTATCAACTTTGAAACATTTTATTTAATTTGTTATTCGTGGTTAGTAAAGATGCCGAGGAATTATTCAAAGTTACAAATTAGATTTTATGAATTATTCAATTGGTTGATAATTAAAATATGATAAAGAAAAAAACAAATGTACATGGTTTAAGAATATAAGAATAAACAATATTATATATTGAAAGATTAACCATTATTTACTGACTTTTTCCAGTTAATTTTTGACTTATAATCGTCGGTCAATATGACAATTGAATTCTTAAAATTTATTTTACAATTTAAATTAAAAAAGTAAGTAAACATAAAAAAGCGCATAAAACACAAAAAAGAAAAGAAAACAATATTCATAAAATCTGTAATTTTTTATCAAAATTAATATATATTACATTTATTGTATAATAAACAATTATGCTTAACATGATCAACATGGTAATATAACCAGTGTCATATTTTTACTAAGTGTGAATAGATACTTTAAGTGGGGGTCTTCGCTAATAGCGATAACATAATAAGGGACAATTACACAAGTGTGGTGTTGATCATGCGTTACACATATGGATTGTAAATGATTGTTTACATGTATATCCGTTGCTCGCCCATATGGTCTCTTTCCAGTGGCGAGGGTAAACAAACGCAAACACACAAAATCCGTTGCTATTAATAACCACGGTCATATTCACAAGAAATAACAAGTAATATTCTAATCTCTAGCATGCCAATCAAAGTTCATAATGAACAATGTCTTTCGTCCGCTCATTCATAAGTGATATACAATTCTGGTAAAAACCATTGAAAAGATTATAAGAATATCTTGTCATCATATGTCTACTAGTTCATCTTCACTTGCTGCATTTCTTGCTTGGACGCCCTTTGATGCTTTGCATCAATGCTTTTCTTGTTTCTATTGATGAGAGGTCAAACATAGTTTGATCGTTAACCTAATTGAAAGTATAGAGTATACCTAATTCTTTAAAGTATAACATGTCACATGTATTCTATTAATTTTAAGATTTAGTTCCTTAAAATAATTAAAGTAACCTTTAAATAAATCAACTTACCAAGTACCTGTACAAATAGTATAAAACCGAATATGATCTTCACATTCGTTTTTTCCATTTTCTGAAAGCAGAATTGAAAGAATTGAACGTTTAATTTTTGTAGCATGTTAAATAAATGCTTTCGTTAGCGAGTGATTAGGGAAATGTGCATTAAAATGAGCCGCATCACGACAAAACCAACGTAATGCGTTTGCGACCAGCATGGATCCAGACCAGCCTGCGCATCCGCGCAGTCTGATCAGGATCCATATTGTTCGCTTACAAACCTTATTACAAGTAGAGAAACTGATAGCGAACAACATGGATCCTGATCAGACTGCGCGGATGCTCAGACTGGTCTTGATCCATGCTGGTCGCAAACGCATTACGTTGGTTTTGTCGTGACGCAGCTCAAATAGTTTGACCTCGCTGTTGTGGGTTCAAGTCTCTCGACAAACGTCTGATTAATTTACTAGCTAGTTTCACCAAACACTTGCTTGTTCCAAATCCTGAAAGCGTCAGGATGTTTTCAAATGCACTAACAAACATGCAAGCGCTGCCAAATTTAAGATATATAACAAAGTATTTTCAGTTATACAGGAAGTCGTATAGCTTCAAAGGTGGCAGAATAGTCCCTTTATTGAAATACTCATGTTTTTATAAAAGAAGGACGCACTTATCTGAAAGGCATATAATATGACAACAGATGTATGATTAAATAAAACTGTTACATTTCTTAACATTGATATCAGTGTACAGCATTTTGAAGCAGTGAAAATATACATGTATTTCATTTTGTACCGGGTTATTCCATAAAACTTTCATTCAACAATAGACAACTTAAACTTGGAATAGTCATTGGCTGTTACGTATAGTAGTTAACCATGTGTATGAAAAGATAGAATATTACCTCACTGGCGATATAAAACTTAATTTGTTTTAGTCATATATATGTAATTTTAAATTTGAAAATTATTGTCAATGATGAAATCAATTTTAATTTTATTTATACCTGTATGTTCTTGAATGAAATTAAGTCAATTGAAATAATACATAAATTGATTTTTCCATATCCCCCACTGTGTATTTCTCGATTTGTAACAATGAAAATTAACACTGACGATTTATTCATATATATATTCCTTAGTCAAACTAATTTCTTCGGTTTCGTTCACATTTTCTTTACACATTTTGCAAGATGTATAAAATTAAAGGCGATTTCGAAAATGTGCTATTCTTGCAGATTAGGATTATCGTAGCTTTGCGACATCATTTGTTTAAAATAAAAGTTTGTACGACACAGATCTTTGCACGACACAACCCATCAGAACTATGTTCCCTATTATGTTCTCAAGTTCAGTGCTCAACTAAATTAATCATTTTTTACCAGTAGGAATCAATTAAAAGATGTAAATTACAAAAAAGCGATATAATATTATTGAGAAAATTTATGCTTGTAAAATATTAGGTCAGTAAAACTTTAAGCTCCATCAGGCAGTATGAATACATGTACGTTTGATGCAATTCTAACTTTATTTCAAAGGTTCACCGCCTGTTACTGATCCGTTTCTAAATTAATATAAACTTTATAATTTGCAGTACATGTAATTTTACCTTCTATGTATCTCTCTTGTTATATTATCATTGTTACATGTTCTATAAAGTTATCTGTGTCGTGTGCTTCAATCTATGCACTTTAAAGTATTAACTTGTATCATATATGTTTACTGTTTAGGCACAAGAAGTCGATGTTGATCCAAGTAAACAGTATGGTTCTACAAAGACTGAGACTACTGTTCGTATGGTTTTGGAAAGCAAGGGTAGCTATTTAGTTATGCCAGAAAAATATAGTTTACATACCTGCCAAATGCTTTTGTCACATAGATAAAATTATGTTGTTGTTCTTGTTTGATATCTAGTACTGTGGTATTTAACTGTAGTTGAAAACTTATTCTAAGATAAATCCAAAGCGTTAAACGTACAAACCTTTGTTTGATGATCGTATATAAATATGACATATTTATTTCAAACACTTAATAGTTTAACACAATTTATTTCTAACATAAAACAGGTGTATATCATGGATACATATAAACCTATATAGACAATAAAAACGATTCTTTGGTACCTATAAATATTTTAAGTACCGCTGTTTATTCAAAACACACATTATAAGTGGTGTGTTATCTAATATTCTAGTACTACTTGTGATTTTGTCACTAAATACTCAAATAAATAAACCGATGTTAAACTGCCATTACGGACTACATGTATATGTGACTGTTTTTTTCTCCCTCGATAAAATAGTTTACAAAGCCTTTGTAAAGCAACAATAATAACGCATTTTATTGATATTTTCTATTCTTATAATGTTTTCTTTTTTTATGCTAAAATAACATCTAAGGTAGACTGACGCCAAAGATTTGATCCACATTAGTCGATATATCTTTTATAAATCGGCGCCAATTCATAAGCAACGTACTGACGTCATCCTAAGTATATAACTCATTCATAAAGGCGCCATAATTACGTAATTTTAAACTGACATGGGCGGAGTTTGAAGAATGATTAATCGAGAAAAATATAAACAAAATACATAGAGGATATTTGTTTGTTTGTGTGTCAGATGAAATTTTATTTCAACGAGTAGGCTTTAAAAACAGTATTCTTACGAGTGGCGTAGCCACGGGTGAGATTACTGTTCTTAAAGTTCACGAGATGAAATAAAATTACATCTTACACAACAAACAAACAAATTTTCTTTTTATTTTTATGCAAGTTAAAACGAAATTTCCTTAATATTAACGTTAATATTAAAATCTGTTTTCCCAATTTCGAGCGCTTGTTTTAATATGAAAAAGGCAAAGCCTCGAAGCGAGCTCGATTTTCTTTTACCGTAAGAAAGGTTAAAATAATCGTTCATTTTTATTTTAAATTTTCCGTTTTAAAATTGTCATTCGGTATTTTATACACTGCTTCCGTTTATTCTGGTTCTCCCTTTCTATTATGGTTCCTATATAAGTGCGCAGGACACCAGTCTACGCTTCCGTTTTCAATCAGAGTACATCAGCTTTTATCGTTATCTTGTAATTCGAAAAGTTGCGATGTGTCCAATTCGGTACTTTAAACCATCACTTAGCAGGTACTCGCGTTACCGTAAAGCTCGCTTTGCGAGCAGGCTCTTCGGGCCAGCTCGTCGAGCTCACTAATAATAAAAACAAACAATTCTAGTAGGAGAAAAAGTCCAACCATCCATCCATATTTCTGTTACTTACTGCGAATTTATATTAGACCTGACTTTGTTAAATGTAAGCGGCCGCCATTTTTAAAAGTTGTGTATTTCACGGGAAGAAAATATTTGTGTTTGATTCAGAGGGATATCATTTGGATTTATTAGCCATACACCTTTTTAAAAGAAAGAAAACGTATTTGAGGATTGTAACAGACAATAAATAAGTGTTGACAGAAGTGTAAACATTCAAAAAGCGGCTAGGAAATTGGAAAACTTGGAAAGTTGAAAGGCTGTCTAACGAACGCTGGGTTGTTTACTTATTCTTCGGGCTGATGGCTGTCATTGCTTTTCAAGTTTTCATAAAACATACTGCAGTTATTGACCGTAGGATACTTAAATATGCCCATATGTCATCAAAAGCAGTGGAAGGAATGTCTTTTTCAGACTGTAAAAATGTTTTCTTCTTTTCATTACCTTTGACATTAAAGATATTCATCAATTTCAGCTTTGCTTATATCTGAACAGCCTGACATTATCAGAATTGTCAGCAAAAATAAAATTGAGGTACCACACGGGAAAAATCTTAAGAAAGTCGTAAACTGTAAAATTATCAAATATAATTTTCATGGATAAATCAGTAATCCACTAAAAAGCATAAAATAAAATTCAGTATCATAATTCATGAGTTTAAATTGTTGAAAACTTGCTAAAATAATACTGGATTAATAGGTGAAATATTTCTTCTTATTTTATTTCTTTTGTTTAATATTTTTTACACTACAGCGACAGTACTGAAGGGTGCGAAACAAAACAACGTTATATACGAAAATTAACAGTGGCAGTAATTTCCCTTATTTTGTCTTGTCAAAATAATATAGATTTCAATATTTAACACCGGTTAGATGTTGTTTTGATGCGAAAAAATTAACCACTCAGGCCTCTTTGTGTGTTTTTTATATATATGCAAGTTGATGTATGTGATACTATTGTATGTGTTTATGTATATTCCCTGAATAAATCGATTCGATGGTCTTCGTGGTCAATTCCTTCGCATCAAAACTCCAAACGGGGTTTTAACAGTCGATAAAGACCGTTAATATCAATACTGTTTCTTAATAAAGATACCCCATATATTATTAATCTGTAACTTTCCATTTTATATCTTCGCAAAAGTTTACCACCACCGACTAACAAGGTAAACAGATCATTAAAGAATTGAATAATATTGCAGTAAGCTTGCAAATTAATGGTCTGGATGATGAACTTGTACAATATGAAAACGCTTAATTAACATCGTAGTAGAGGACATGTACCACCTCGTCATTACATAAGCATCCTAATTTAGCAGTAACTTGAGCATATTTGTGGTTAATAACAATATAGTAAATTATAAAATAATGTAAAAAATAAACAAAAATACTACTAATATGCTTACCAGACTAGATTGAAAACATGAGTACATTTTTGGGAGAAAGAAGAATGCTATGCAACAAAACGAACATTTAATTCATTTATTTTTTATTGATTTATTTATCATTCTGTCACAACACTTCCAGAAGTGTATTAAGCTTATCTGAACAAAGGTACAATATGGGTGAATAAATGAACATTACAGCAAATTGTGAAATCAGTTATTTCAAGAAACAACTGAAGTTTCCAGATAGTTAATCAATCACAAAACGTGACAAAGGGTTTCATGACAAAATTTAAATTTTCAGATAGTTCATGAATCATAAAAAATTGGCAAAGGGTTTCATACCTGGAATACAGATATTATTACATTATGGATGAAATGCAAAAGATCATAGAAAGTCTATCAAGTCACTATTGGTAAACGTAATACATAC